CTCGTGAACAATGCTGTCATGTAATTAACACAGCAGAACTTTTGTTTAATTAGTTACATTTTCAGCCTTTAAATGAGAAAAAAAACAACCAAGCCATGGGTGGTCTGTAACCTCAGAAGAGCAAATACACCATGCTGTAAAATCATCCCAGCTCAGAATACTAGGTTGGACATAAAAAAAGCATTTATTGAATCCTAAGCCTGAGTCAGGAACAGAAGGTGCATTAAGAGCTTCCCAACTGTAGCTTACCACCAATTCATTAAGAGTTCGGCATTATTTAATAAAAATGGCTTATGCATCTACTTTAACTGAAACACTATTTATTCATAAACATTTTTAACTAGAGTATCTGTTGGGACTTATTCACACACCAGTTCAGGGACAGTTTCAAATTCTTCCTTCAAGTAAATGCATTCAATTCTCATTGCTGTCTGCCTCACTTAGGCTGCAAGTCTGCAAGCAGAGCTAGGCCTATATTTTGCAATTAAACGAAGGATCTCAAATAGTTTACAGAGACCAGGACACGTTGCTATTAATGTCTTGGTAAAGTATTAACATTACAGAAGTGAGAAAACTCCTATAATTTGTGTAATAGCATTAAAATGATTCTACTGTCCTTATGCCTGAATCCCAAATTTGAAAATAAATCCTCTTTTTTTGGCTATTTTATCATAGAATCACAGAATGGTTTGTGTTGGAAGGTGCCTTAAAGCTCATCAAGCTCCAATTTCCTGCCTTGGGCAGGGATACCGTCCCCTAGACCAGGTTGCTCAAATCCCCATCCAACCTGGCCTTGAACACTGTCAGGGATGGGGCAGCCACAACTTCTCTGGGCACCCTGTGCCAGTGCCTCAGCACCCTCACAGGGAAGAACTTCTGCCTAAGAGCTCACCTCAGTCTCCCCTCTGTCAGTTTAAACCCATTTCTCCTTGTCCTGTCACTACATGGCCTTGTAAAAAGCCCCTCTCCAGCTTTCCTGTAGCCCCCTTTAGGTACTGAAGGTCTCCTGGGAGTCTTCCCCAGCTCTCGGCCTGCTCCTACACCAGAAAAGTCTGCTTCATCAGAGAAGTTTGTCTCCAGGTAGGCACTAAATAAAATGGTCAGACCTTCTACAGAACTAGAGTTGTCTCTTGAACAAAAATCATGATACTACTGAGTGCTGAAACAAGGGCTGAGCAGATCTGAGGCTTCAGCCCACAGTTTTTCCAGTTGCATTAACAGGACAGTAACCGCTTCCAGACTCTGAAAGTGGTGACCAAGCAAAGTAGTAATATTTGCTAATGGACTCAGGCAGCTGTTGCAAAGGGATGTTGCAATGGGACATTGCAGACAGGGAACATCATCATTTTTAGCCTCACCCTATGCAACTACTACCTATCCAAACACTTATAAGCTGGTTTCTCAGAACCTCTCTGCCACTCTTATTTTTGAAGCTTGAGGGAACTTTTTGCTTTACAAGAGAGATACCTTTACAAGAGAGAGAGGAGTAAGAGAAATTCTACACTTTCCAGCTCACTCACAAGGGACAAGTTTTTCCACCTTCCCCACTTCCACAGCATAACACACATGCAGAAACAACAGCATTTCCTGACCTTGTAAAGATGTACCCATAACAGATTTTTTTTCTTTTCTGTGTAATCTCACAGCTGGACATGAAGATGGCCAACACTCTGACCCGTTACTCCTCCAAGGGCCGTATGTGTTCTCCATTTGGCAACTGGACAGCTGCTGCTTTAGGACTTTGCCCTTTTTGTCTCCCTTATCTTTCCTTCTGTCATCTGCTTATTTTCCATTTTTATGGTATTCTTTTTTGGTAGATAATAATGTCTTCAGGATTAGTGCTGGTAAGAGGCCAGGACAAAATGGCAGCACTAACGACTTTTGTTTGAGTTAGGGTCAAAGAAAGATAATTTAGACCACAGACCTGGGGCCCCATTTTCCCATGACATTGGACAAATCCACACAGAGAAGCAGAAACACTGAATACTTCAAATCCAAACCTCCCTGAGTTTATCCTCTTGGTACACAGCTTGCAGAAAAAGATGAGGATTATATTTCAACACCCATGGACAGGACTCGAGATGGACTGTACCACTGACTATTCTTTCTGCATATTTTTTTTGTTTTCAGGAGCAGAATCCAGCATGGAAAAATCCACCTCTGTGGCTTCCCACCCCCTCAGCTGAAGGACCTCTCCTCCTAAGCTTCCCTTGGGGGACACAGACTTACTTAGCACATGCACGGGCCAAAATTGCTGCTTTCCTCCCATGCTGCCAAAAGATGTGCTGTTAGTGACATGCCCACTGCTCACATACCTTTCAGAGAGGAAGGAACTGGCCCTCAGTTTGGCTTTTTATTTTTCCCCATTATTTTTTAATTATTTTTTTTTTAAGCCTGAAGGTTAAATGCTTCTCCTCTGAGCACAGCAGCAGGGCAATCAGTTAAGGGAATATGCAGTATCTCTTTCCCACTGGCCAAAGAGGGGAACTGTAAAATTCATCATAAATGACGAAAAGTAAGGCAGATAGTTAAAATTCACACACTGTTAATGAAGTAACGCAGCTAACGGCTTTTCATGTACTCAACCCTAGGGTACTCCTCTTAAAGAGATTTTATTTTCCCACAGGGTTAGGAGGATGAGAAAAAGCAGGTAGGGGAGGCTCTGCTGAAATCTATGTGAATTAAGCATCCATGTAATACCAGGACACCCTGCATTTGAAACCAGACCTCCTTCCCATGATCTGTAGCTGCTCCACAGGGAAACCCAGATCCCTATGGCCTCCACTATTAGCTTCCCATGAGGACTGATAGCAAGAAGCTGTGGTAGGTGTGCACAGATCCTCCTTCTTCTGCAACATGGAGAGACTGGGAAGGGTGCAGAAAGCCAGGTGGGAAACGAAAAGTGGGAAGAGGAGTAGGAGAAGCAGCAGCAGCAAGAGGGCCCCATGCCACTGCCTGGCCCCAGCAAAGGGTGATGGTTTTGTGAGGGAGTGGTTGGAGCAAGATGAAAAGCTCTGGATCACATGTGGGAGTGGGATACAGGGAAAGGCAGCCCCAGAGCCAGGCAGAAGGTGCTCAAGGATTAGTAGGGAGCACAGCACCTGCACAGTTGCCCTGGGACAGCCAGGAGCACTGCCAGCATGGATGGCTGATTGCACAAGCAACTGTGAAGTGAGGAAAGAGAAAAGAGGCCTTCTGGCAGTGCTGATGCTGCTGTGCAAGGAGTCTCCCTGACAAACATTAGTCTGCAAAATCTCCTCCCTGCTGACATGGGAGGATTTGCTTTCTCATGCATTCTGCTTGACCGCAACAGCTCTTGCATCTATCCAGTGTTTACCAACACTGAACTTGCATAAGGTTTGCAGTGGGTCCCCATCCTAAAGAACAGCAAAGCATATCCCTGCCTGTCCCAAAACCACCCTCAGACCACTTCTCTCATCTAGGGAAATGTCAAACTGCCCAGACTAGAAAAGCCACAAAACTGTGGGTGACTGGATTTCTGATACTCAAATTTCTCACAAACCACAACGTAAAGCACATGGCAGATTTTCAAGGTATGTATCTGTTAATTGACACCTGCAAAAGGGCACATGGAGGGAAAAATGGAGGAACAGCACAAATTACAGTCTTATACCTTGTTAAAAACTCATTTAGCAGGTTCTCCAGAAAGCAGCATCTTGAAATCAGCAGTTGGGATTTATCCAGTAACTCAAGGCAAAGAATGACAAAAAAAGGCCACTTCTGCAGCCTAGACTTTCAAAGATTCACAGGAGTAACATGTCAGTAATGTGATTCAAACTTAACGTTTAGATTAGATCAGGGTGGCGAGGCACGGGAACGTGCTGCCCAGAGGAGTTGTGGCTGCCCCATCCCTGGCAGTGTTCAAGACCAGGTTGGACAGGGCTTGAAGCAACCTAGCAGAAGATGTCCCTGCCCATGGAAGGGGGTTGGAACTGGATGAGCTTTGAGGTCCCTTCCAACCCAAACCATTCTATGATTTTAGTAAAATATTTCAATAAAATATATTCAAGTTCTAAGAAGCATCAGTTTTCTGAAGACACCTGAGGTTATAGAATGAACTGCAGGAAAGGTCATTAACACCAAATTTAAATTCATTGCTTATGCTTTGAAGTAAAGATGGTGCCTCCACCTGTGAGGGACATATTGCTTAAAGCAGAGATGAGATAGGTTCCTAAGTGAGAGCTGGCAAATGAGGAAGTTGGGTTGCTTTCTTGAGTTTCTGGCATAAATTCCTAGCTCTCATTTCCTACAGTTAAAGACTGACCAAACTCTCTTCAAGCCTCTTTTCTTTATAAATGAATCTGGAAAGTTCACTCCCCATAATTAGGAAAGCTGACTCTCTGTAAAGTGCTTGTATCAGCATGCAGAAGTCCTTTTAGGTATGTGCTATACATTCTCACTTTCACAGAAGACTTTTCTGTGAAGATGCCTAACAAACTAGCTTAGCAGGAACTCAAAAGCAATTTTCAGAGACAACCTAAATGTGCTTTGTTAAGAAATAAGACTTCCTTTCTCATTCAGATCAAGAAAAGCTTCATCAGATGCAATACAGAGAGTAATTTTCTGAGACCTAGTTCTATCAAAAAAAAAAAAAAAATTATTGAAAGAAACCAAACAAGAATAATACAGATTTTTTTGCCTGTTAAAAAAGACAAGTGATTGACAAGAGATGTAGAGAGACCTGGCAATCTGCCTTTCCCCAGTGTTGCTGCTGATAAGAGGATGAACACAGTGCAAGTGGTCATGGATGGCAATGTATAGACCTGGTGCACCTAGACCAAGTCTACTTTCACTATTTCCATTATCCACCAGGAGAAAAAGAAGAAATAAATACATAGAAGATATTATACACGCAGCAGCAGGATTTTATAACTAACCCAGGTCATTCTGTCCTGATAAGGTCTCACAGCTACTTTTGCTTTAATTAGATGTGTGGTTTTGAAGATGCTAAGACCTGAAGACTGTCATCATGTACTTACATAGTCATCCTCATGCAGACCTTGCTTCTGAACAGAACTTTTCACCTCCAGGGAAAATTTCTCAAACTCAGGCTTCACGGTCCTTAGCAGAGTGACGGTTTGGAGGTATGAGTATGCTTTCTTGGCTTCAAGGTCATGTTTGTCTCCTCTTCTCCAAGAGCCATTTCCTAAAAGGAAAACAAGAGTATTTCCAACTCCATATGAGGTACTATTACAGGGTTGCCTTCACTTTTCCTCCCAGAAGACCCCTCTACTGCACCTTGGGGAAATGGCAGAATACAAGAGAGAACTGAACCTGCTCCAAGACATGCAGGAAACCAGGCAGGGAAGAATGGCTGTTCGGAAGTAAACCTGCAAACATATGGACAACCTTACTCCCATGCTGCGCTTGCTTATTTTTAAAGGGTGGGATGAAGCCTAAGTGTAAGAAAACATCTCTGAGTGAAAAACGTGCCAGATCTCAAACACAGAGATATTTAAGTGAGGAAGGATTCAGCCACAAAATTTGTTACACATCACTCCATCAGTGACACTCTTGGGCAGTCAGAAAAGCATCAGTAAAGTCAGTAGTATGATCATCACTTTTTTCCTTTTTTGACAATAAACGTAATTGGAGAATTGCTCAGCTTCCTCAAAGAGAAGGAACAAAGGACCTGCACTTCTCTGGAGGACAAGTCTTTCCTCCTGCTGCTTCTGGCCCTGGGGCAGCTCTTATCATTCCCAGCACAGGGTGGGAGGCACAGGACCACCCGAGCTCTTTTGCCTCACTTTTCTACCACAGGAAAGCCTTATTTACCATAGCTCAGCATTAGCTGAGCTACTCTTTCCCAATACGAAGTTCAACTGGTCAAAATTACTTATGCCAGGACTTTATTTATCAGACCTGATGAAAACACTGGAGAGCAGCTAACATCCTACTGTCCAGTTTTGGTCTCAGAGGTAGTACTACCCCCTTCAGTGTTTGCACCCTGCCCTTGTTACTGCTTTTGAAAATGAAGAAATGCACATCTGGCAGTGGTAAGCTAGGACACCTTGCTAGCTTCCCCACAAGAGGGTACAAGTCCTGCCACAGCTTTAAAGATGAAATCCTCTGCCCCAGCTGGGGTTACCTGCATTTCAGAGGTGCAGTATTCAAGAAACATGCAGAGACTACAGCACAGGGGGCTTTGCTATAGCTTTGATTTACAAATGGAGGTTAAAATGAGAAGGATTATAGACAGGGGGGTCTGTAGTCCCCTCATCTAATGATAGTGTTGGTAGAATGTGAGTAAGTTTCTGTCCTGGACACTATGCATACTTGTTTATAAAAATCCTGGCACTGGGAGCAGTGATACATACACTTGCATAACAGCGTTCCGAGAATAATTTACGTATTTAAATTCCTCCATGGACTATTTTGTGGGAGGTCGTCTTGCCACAGTGCTTATGTGCAATTATTGCAGCTTTGGCATCTAGTGTGTCTGCTCTTCTGAAAAATTAAAAATATTCAGAACAGAGGGCAGCAGCAAACTGCAACACAGTCATCTGAACTTCACGGCACAATGCCAATCTTCCAATCAAGCCCAGTCTTGGGTTTTGTATCTTTTATAAGGTATACAATCTACTACTGCCAGGCACTGGTAACAAGGAATTTTAAGGGAATTTCTCTACATTTCTCCTTTATGCTTGCTTTCCACATGTGATGACCATCTGCACAAAAGTTAACTTCTGGGGCACAGTCGTTTCACTCTCTATGGAAAACACATCCACAGAAAAACAGGTTTAAAGGAATTATTAGTAATGTCAGGAAATGCCATGTTCTAACTACACTACATCACAAGACAGAGAGTTTTTATTAATCCCTTGGAAAAGCAACAAGACTGGACTACCTGTGATGCAGAGGAGGATGGTGCTGAGGCTCCCACACAAAAGTGGGGCAAACAGATATTGCATGGAGGTCCCACACCAGGATGGCACAGCACTGCCCTGCTGGGACAAAGTGCCGCCTACGGGGGGCTGCATCACTGCAGACACCCACCCCACATCAGCTGTGACACCAGGGTCCCTCCTGGGACAGTGTGCTGAGCCTGGGGACTGCATACTGCTTCATACAACTGTCACTACCTCCTAGCAAATACCATCCCTGAAAGCAAAACCATTCCAAAAACCAGCATCCCCACCTCCTGCAAACACTGTTCTTATGTGACCAAAATTAGAATAATGGAATAGTTAGGGTTGGAAAGGACCATAAGATCATCTAGTTCCAAGCCCCCTGCCATGGGCAGGGACACCTCACACTAAACCAGGTCACCCAAGGCTCTGTCCAACCTGGCCTTGAACACCACCAGGCATGGAGCATTCACAGCTTCCTTGGGCAAACCATTCCAGTGCCTCACCACCCTCACAGTAAAGGACTTCTTCCTTATATCCAATCTAAACTTCCCCTGTTTAAGTTTTAACCCATTACCCCTTCTGCTATCACTACAGTCCCCAATGAAGAGTCCCTCCCCAGCATCCCTATAGGCCCCCTTCAGATACTGGAAGGCTGCTATGAGGTCTCCACGCAGCCTTCTCTTCTCCAGGCTGAACAGCCTCAACTTTCTCAACCTCTCTTCATACAGGAGGTGCTCCAGTCCCCTGATCATCCTCGTGGCCCTTCTCTGGACTTGTTCCAACAGTTCCACGTCCTTTCCATTTTGAGGACACCAGAGCTGCACACAATACTCCAGGTGAGGTCTCACAAGAGCAGAGCAGAGGGGCAGGATCACCTCTTTGGACCTGCTGGTCATGCTCCTTTTGATGCAGCCCAGGATACGGTTGGCTTTCTGGGTTGCAAAAAGCTGGACGGACAACTCTAAAGTGTCCCAGCCATCTTCAGTACTTCCCAGGTAGTCACCCTGAGCTCATTTCAGCCAAGGCAAGGAAACCATCAGTTGCAGGGGATGATTCATCTGAGACACTATGGATAGCTAAAGATGAGGTGAATCATTGTCCAGGGGCACCTGCTTCTCTCCTGTGACTCCAAAGGGGGCCCACCTCACACACAGACTTGTACCTGTGGCCAGATGAATCACTTCTGATACATTTCTACTCTCTGAGATGAAACACAGCAGTAGCACAGCGGTAACGAGCCACTGCCATCAGATAGAGGGGTTATTTGATCAGTGATTTCTAGTAAAGTGAAGCCTGCAAAGCTCCCAGTGTCTACAGAAGGGCCAAAACTTCAGTGTTTTGTGACTGCTGACAAGGGTAGACCTTCAGCTTTTTGCTCTGGTGCTGATTAAGGTTGCAATGCCAAATGGTTTTCCCTGTGCCACAAAGGATAACATCACTCCAAATTCAACTCAACAAAAAGAAAACCTTGATTCTAACCATTGGTTCTAATCTCATTCTGCAACTTCATGTTTTACTTATTTAACTGATGTCCTTACTACCTGTCAAAACTTGGAACTGCTTTAGCTAAGCTAGACAATACATGGAGCAGGACCTGTACTTCCGTACATATCTGTATCTCTGAATTTAAACAGCTACATACCGAGCTCTTCAACAAACATTACTGTTTACTGTAAAATGATCTTAAACGTGGTAGATGAGTAACAAAAAGTTTATGCAAAAGAATTTAGCTCACAATTATCTGATTTCTTAAACAAAATACATCATCCTCTTGTGAATTCAGCTGTTCCTATTGGTTTGCTTTTTGGGGCTTAGAAGAAAGAAAAAAAAACAAGTTTTCGTCCTTTCTCAACTCCCACTTGATTTTCAATTTGAAATGAATTTGTCATTGTAGTGGATAAGGCAGCCCATAGGGTGGAAATTATCTTCTCTGCACCTGCAAAAGAGGGTGCTCCTTTCAAAAGCCATGTTGACACTTCAGCAAAACCTAGTTCCCAGGCAGGAACTCTCCTTAGCTTCAGCCACCTGATGCTGTTTAAAACTCAGCAAAAACCACTGCTCCAGTATTACTTTAACTGAGACAGCTGTAAGCAGCTGAGAGCAAGTTTAGTCCCTGCCACACAATCCCATGATATCAAATGTAATTCAGTGTAGGGACATTTCAAAATGCAAATGTATTTAATTTACATTTAAAGTCATATTTTAAATTGACAAATCTGATTCTTTTTACTCAGGGGTGGAATCAGCCACCTTTACCCACTCTACTCTAGTAAATCTGGACAGTCCATGTCCCATCCAGCGCTTTCCTTTCAACACAGCACTACTGAACATTTTTGCAGATGCAGTTTCTGATCAAAAGCTAAAACAAATTAGATATGTGGATCCCCCAGCACAGAGATGACTTCTGGAGACCCAGGCCTTGTGGCTGCCCATGGCTCTGGCCATTGCTGGTGCCTCCTTTCAGCCACCTTCACGAACCGCAGGCCACGGGCAGCGAGGAATACCCTGCCCTGAGATGTGACAGTGACAAGCTGGGGATTGTGCAAGCTACCCAGAGCTGAGCACACACGCCACAGCACGGGGTGCCCACACCTGGCTGCTACAACCATTGCCTTCTTCTGGTGCTGCTCCCCCTAAATCTAAGCAAGTAACACCTATAGTGTATTTGGGACCTTGTGATCCACCAGTGGCACCTAGAGTCATCAGCTCTTTTTCACTTCTTGAAATATCAGAGCCCCAGGGGAAGATAACTGCAACCGCAGGGAGAGACAGTGGAATATTTTGGGACTCGGTGCCGCATATTTTGAGCCTAACAGATCTAAAAATATTACCAGGCTTACAGAAGATTTTGTAACATACTTGGTCAGGAAGAATATTACCATATGATGAGCTGTTGAAGAGTTCAATATTGAAGAAAGCGTAGTCCCCATTGGTCATTCCTTGCCGATGAGCAGCCAGCATGATGTCCCTGATTGTGTCACCTCTGGCACACATGATTACAACTGGTGGAAGAAAATGAGGAACACAGATAAGAGGCAGTTCAAGAACTTCAGGGAACAGGCTGTTAAGGCATGAGCGCTGCTGGAGACAGTGACCCCAGCTGTCCTCTCAGTATTGCAACAAACATGCCAACACAGATAGCAAACAAAGCTCATTTCCCAGGCTGCTGATGGAAGACAGGTACCAAACATGGACGCTTCCTCCTTCCTTGTCTCCTCTGAAAATAATTAAATAGAGCCTCTGTGTGACCCAAGTTCTTTTTATCCCTCCAACATGTGATAAGTTCTGGCCTCAAAGTTCTTCAACTGCATGTATTTGTGGAGTCGATTGCAACCATAAGCCTCAGTTGTTACTTCTAAGTGTCATATACTGAAAAGTACTTAGCAAAGTACACTACGTAAGACAATCTCAAGATAAAGAACTAAGATGATACAATGGCATTATCATTTTAATTTCCATTCCATTTAACAGTTTGGTGTAGAGTCATCTTGCCTACAATTCAGCTACCTAAAATTTCAGTATCTGGTGTAGAATTTGTTGCCTCTCTACCATTAACAGAGAGAAGCATCTCTGCAGCTAAGGACAATCTCTTCAGAATGTGGCTTTCTCTCCAGGGACTATAGAATAAGCCTAGTCAACGACCTTTGAAATGACACTTAATGTTCAGAAATGGGAAAAGCAAATGCCGCTTTCTAAGTGTGAAGATTAAAGGTGGTTACAAGATTAAATGCCACAGAGACTTGTTTATAAAGGCGCTTTGCTGCTACAATAGGACCTACAAGTCCACAAGTGTGTTCCATGCAGGCACCACAATCCACTTTGTGACAACTGTGGTTGAGAAGCCTCTTCCCTAACCTGAGGGCAGGAGGCAACTACTTCCCTTGCTATCCCTTCCCTCTGCAAGGGGAAAGCACAAACTCAGGTGAGGTCTTCAGCAGCTGTGACACAGCTCCCCCACTGAGCATGTTACACTATAAACTTCTTTATAGGTTCACAAGTCTGTGGCTGTGAAGCTACCGACATCAGAGGGAGCCGCAAAGTATTGTACCAGTGTGCGCTTTGGGGCTATATCCTACAGCAAAGTCATAAGAGATCCTGTTGGGATGATAATTCAAAACCAACTGCACACACATTTCCAAGAGCACCGTCACACATGGCAGGGCTCAAAAGATACAACAATGTACGCAAATATTTTGAACCCAACAATAAAACTGAATCAAAACTACATTCAGCTTTTCTGCATAGAAGTGTTTGCTGTTGTAAGAAATGAAAAGGCCAAACAGGCCAAATCTTTTTCACACACAATGAATCTTCTCCTGTCGCTTTGCTGGTTGGATGCCACCACAGGCATACAGCTCCAGATGAGCCGCTGGGGTTAGTCATGTTCAGTACATCCCCACACTTCAGGAGAGTTATACCATGCATAGCTCTATCTTACCTATTATAGCAGCACAATATAATAATTTCCAGAGCAACAGAGCAAGATGTATTTCATGACCATTGTGAAGTATATTAGCATGAAGGAAAAGAAGAAGAAAAAAGAAATTCTTACACTAAAATTTGCATCAAATCTTTTCCAGATGCACATCAGGAACAAATTTGTCTCACTGTTCCTAATTTCTGTTTAGGTGAGAGATTTCCTTTTGAAACATTTCCTTGTACTCCCAATTCTCCCTTGACTTTGCCTTTATAATTCACATTTTTCATAAAGCTGTAATCTGGAGATGGAATCAAGGAGATTCCCACAACACTAGTAACAGACCTTGAGAAAAAGGAATAAAGAAAGAGTGTGTGTGTGGGTAAACCTACTTTAAAATGTATTAAATCATGTTTTGTAAGACTCTAAAGGAAGGTAAGGGAAGTAATATTAACCACTTGGATGTGGTTTTTAACACAGCAGGAGAGCTAAGATTACATATTTTAAGATTCTGAAGCAAATAAGCTATGGGCATGTCTCTCGCAATCTTCCAGAAATGTAAATTATGTCTACTTAATCTGCATCTGTACTTTACTATTGTGTATATACAAATGTGTGCGTGCAAACACATACATAATGTTTTCCCTCCGGTATAATAAATGTAGACCACAGTAATTCTAATACTAATATTCTGAATTTATTGATTACGATTATTGACTCATCCTGCAAATACCTGACAGTTTAATTCCAGTTCCCTGTGCTACACACACCCCCTCACTATATGCCTATGCCAGAATGCATTTAAGCACAGTCCAGCGTTTGTGGACAGCATTATGGTAAACCCGAGCCTACAGCATCAAGTCTGCAGCGTGGCTAAACAAGCCTGCAGAGCAGCTTGAACTACTAATGAAATTCATTAAAGTGGTTAACTTTTATTATCATATTTTACATCACAATTTTGTTGTGGCTCCAAGACTTGAGCCTGCCTCCAGGACCATTGAGAGCTTGGTGCAAACCCCCAGCCAGCAGCAACCTAGCCCATGGGGCCAGCCTCTGCCACACATCCCCAAGGGCCAGCTGGTGGGGCAGCTTCTTTCTCAGCCCTGGCAGAGTTTTCCACAGGTCTCCTGTATTTGCTTGAATGCCCACCACCACTCAGGCATCTCAAGGAAACCCAAACATTCAGATAGGACCAGCATCAGCAGCAATCTCTGTAAACAGAGAAGATGCAGGGTCAGAGCCAAGGACAGTGTCACCGTAGCCCTTAAAAACGGATGGGAAACCAATCAATCAACCAAAAACATTCCTAGAAAGAGCTTTGGATAGTGTCTTGTTGCCCACAAGCCCTAATACCCTACTGGGGGACCTCCAACGAGTTCATAGGAGACATGAAAACTTCACCTGGTCAGCTAAAGCACACGGTGCACCCTTCAGATGACATATGACTTCTAAAATATTGTGACAACCTGACAGATGCCATCAGCAGCAGGACCTCCTCAGGCGGAGGAACATGCCAGCAGAGTCCTGCGGTCAGTCTTTCAAGTAAAAAAGGCACAAGTGGAACCTGAAGGGCCCACAGGGCACAAGGAGGGGAAAGAAGACACAGCACTGCTTTTGTTTAGTCATTTGGAAGTTACAAACTGATGCAAGACCAAAGGTCTCAGCTCAGCAAGCATTTAAGCCCAGGCTGAAAGCAAGCCTCTCTTTCCTGACTGTGCAGACTTAAGAGCAGGGTTCTCTTTAGCCATCAGTCATGTTCCCATTACATAGCCACAGCTCCCTATGCCTAAAGGTGAATATTGTCTTTTTCTGCTGTAAGCATGCTGCTATTTTCTTAGCATCAGGAAAGCTGATCACACACACACACAAGTTATGCTGGTTAAAAAAGAAAAGCATCTTTCCCCACACAGCAGTCTCCTCTAGCACCTACACAAGTTCCTTTGTCCCCATTCAGTATATTTCCCACATGGCACTTACTAGGAAAGTTCTACTTTAACCACCTGCTTCAGTGAATAAAGAATTAAAAAGCCATAAGCTATTAGTCCTCAGGTATTTCCCACCCACTCCTGAGCACATTAAGGATTTCACAGCAGTGTTAACAACACCTGCAGTGCAAGGTTACTCCATCCGCAGCCTACAGCACCCAACACCAGTTGTGACAGCCACACACAGCATCATCTTTATCAGTCCAATTTGGATGTTATTTTAACATTCTACAACCAGAAATTGTACAAAACACTTTGCACACACCTACACCTCTTTCAGAAAACAGCTAAGGAATTTCTTCAATGCTATCCTGCTGCCTGCTCCTGGTCCACACCTTTTCTTTTATTTTAATAACTTAGTGGGGAAGCCCTTGGCTGCTAAAAGCCTCTAAAAGAAAATGCCTTTTCAATTACCCATGTATCCGCACATTGCTCGGCACGACCTCACTTTAAAACCCATCTAACTACAATCTGCACATCCCAAAGCACTCTGAGCGGTTTACTACTTCATGATGCAAAACCAGTTCATCCAGCCCACGGGTAACTTTCCAAGATGTTTTAGAAGCCATTTATCTCTACAGCGTTTTGCTAACAGTTGGCGGCAATATAATTGCACACACAGGTTTTGCATCCACACATCCCCCGAAATGACCCCTTCCCCTAAATGCATTTGTTATTTATGAGGTACTCAACAGGGCTTCCTATGGCAGGAGCAGGGAAAAGGATCCCCGCTGCAAGACACAGCAGGGTGAGAAGAAAACATTTTTGCTTAGACTTTGAACCTACAGAGAGTGACTGTGCTAATTTCAGAGAATAAGCAACTGATTTGGTGCTCCTCAGATGCAGGCGATTTTGGCTAACCCAGACCTCTGGCAGAAAGCTCATTTCTTAACCATGCCACAGAACCCTCCCAGTGCGGTTCCTGAGGGTGAGTTTCACTCTTCGCGGTGGGGTGCAAAGCTGTGATAGACTTCTGTGGGCACGGTTTTCACTCAGGGCAGCTGGTCCCTGTCCTTTGCGGGATGCCTGGCCCAGGGATGCCGGCCCACGTGCCTCCCCCCGTCCCACAGGATCTTCCCTCTGCAGTGCTCCCACCACCCATCCCTGACCCCATCCACCACGCGGAACCGAGCCAGGCATCCACCACCACTCACCCCTCTCGCCGGTCTGCAGGGCGCGAACGACGTCGTCGATGTCGAGGTGCCGGCTGCTCTCGTCGAAGCTGTGCACGGCCATGTGGAAGGCCTCCTCTTGGAAGACCACATGGACGCCCTCCATGGCGAAGTAGCAGCTGCGCTCGGGGTTGCTGTCGCTGTAGAGCAGCGTGGCCCGGCTCCACTGGTGGTGGCGGAATAGGGCCAGCAGCATCTCGCCCATCTTGGCATAGGCCGGGGCGACGCGGGTGAGGTGCGAGTACTCGCCGCCCTTGGCTCCGAAGCCCGCGGCCAGCGCCCCCGCCGACAGCATGGGCACGTCCCAGTGCGCCGCCAGCCGCGCTACCGGCGCCGCCGCGTACTCGCAGACGGGCCCCAGCAGCAGGTCGGGGCGGCGGTGCTGCAGGGCCACCATGTCCACCAGGCTGAACAGGGCGCGGTTGCCGCACGCCGAGTCCTCGTAGGTGAGCTGGAATGTGTACCCGGGCGGGAGCCCGGCGCCGCTCTCCCGCAGGCTCCGCACCGCGTACTCGATGGCGGGACGCACCCGCCCCAGCGAGAAGAGGTAGGTGTCGTCCTGCGGCAGCAGCACCAGCACCCGGATCAGCTTCTCCTCCTCCTCCGCTCCCGCGGAGCCGCCTCCCAGCGCCGTCCGCGCCGCCAGCACGCAGCAGAGGCTACCGAGCAGCCAGGGCGGCATCGCGCCCGCCCCCCCGAGACGCCCGAGCTGCGGCAAAGTTTTCTTCCCCCCCTCCCTTCCCCTCCCGCCTCGAAATTGTTCGGTCGTGTTTTATTGCTCAGGTGTTTGGCGAGTTCACAACCTGTCCCCGCCTGCGGGTTACGGATGGAGCATCTCGGCTCTGCTTGTCTTGTTCTCTTATAGACTATGATTATTATTACTGCTGCTGCTGCTGCTAGTACTAGCGTCTTCCCCCGCCCGCCCCCCCGCCGGATTCCCCCGCGGGGCTGCCGCGCTGCGCCCGCCCGCTTAAGTAGCGCGGTTCGGCGGCGGTTCTCCGCACGCCCCGCGCGGCGCGGCCGGGTTTGTGCGTAGGGAGGAGCCGCAGCCGTGCTCCCGCCCCCCCCTCCACGCCCCCCCGCACCTCTGCTGCCGGCCGGCACCGCCGGGCGGGGGGAGCGCTTATCGCCAGAGTCTGGGTGTGCGTGGACCGCCTGCTCGGCCACTGCCCGCCGCTCCAAGCGAGCCCCTGCGACTGCGAGGAAGGGGACCCATCGCACTCTCATGTGCTTAATGTTTTGGGGTTGCTTCAGCCTGCTTAAGCCGCTCTTTCCTTTGCGTAGGAAAAGCGTTTGGTTCCCCTCCGCATCCCCGAGGGCTCGGTGCGCGCAAGGCTGGGGGATTTGGGGAAAGGGGCTTGAAGCATCAGCAGTGGGGGATGCAGGCAGCGCCCTCAGGAGCGCTGCGGTAGGGCACACGCAGGGCTGCTCGGCTCCCATCTCCTCACCTGAAAAGGTGCCCGTGCTCCCGGTCTCTGGAACCCTAAGTGGAAGACGGCAGTGGGGCCCTGACCTCAGCCCGTGTCCTGGGATCTTCTGAGACCCCCATAACGAGAAAGCCCAGGTGCAGTTTCTGCTGCTTCCCACCCACTGCATCTGAGATACAATTGCATGCCCCAAGCAGCAGAGGTTTCCCCAATGAAGGAGGCATGTTCTGAGACTATTTTCTTGGGGAAAAAGAAGAAGAATGATAACTTTTTAAAATTATCTTAACAACGCTGCCTAGTAAGATCATGTTAAACATATCCCTGAGCAGATCTTGCTGGCCATAAAGCTGCTATACCTAAGATTTTGTTAATGTCCGTTTAAAATGGACACTGTTCTGGGATAAAGTCCATGCAAGATGTGCAAAATGTCTCAGCAAAGAGGTTTTGGAATACCTGATGCTTTTTGACAGCAGAATTACAAAAGATGTCTCTGTGGAGTTTTCCATGCCCACAGCCTGCATCCTCAAACCCAGAGAGGGCTGCATGGTTTGATGTTTTATGGTTACTCGCAGAGTGCCAGGTTTGCATTTGAAAGGTGAGTGAACAGCTCCTGGCTCTACAGAAGGGGTTTGTTTAGTTCAGCCAGGAGGTCGTGGTAAGGGCAGTGTGTAAACTTACTTTTGTTGCTGCCGTCACTGTGCAGCCCATGAATGGGAAACCGGCACTCCTGGGGCAACCATCTGCTCACCTTTAGGATGCCTTGGTTAAAAAGGAATCTGGAAGTGCTTGTGCAATTACAGCCAAGAAGTGGAATGAAAGCCGCAGGTAACACAGACCTACAGAAATAACCATCAAAAAATAGTTTTTTTCTTTCAGAAGCATTTGTCTAACAGGGGCTCAGTAAAATAAAGAAGCTCAGAAATTCAAGGGTGGGTAGCGACCCTGAGAAATGTACCTCTCACATAGCTTTATTTGATTACTGAATTGAACTTCAGAGTGTTCTTGAAGATTACATAAACATCCTCCCTGGTGAAGCTGGTCTTGTATGTTCCTGTGCTGTAAGTTATGTCAGGCATTTTTTTGTTGTAAATGAGTCCGTATAACATAGTGGGGATTAAGCGGAATGTTACAATATACAACACACCACCCATCTTCACCACGAAGCTTGCAAAAACATTTTCTTAAGACACATTTTGAAATGCTGACCTTTGTAGTCACTGCTTTATGATGACCCTACAGATGTGTTTACAACACTGAAATCTGGATGGATTTCTCTTGATTCCCCCTTCCCTGGCCAGAATATCTTTTCCATTTTACATGTGAGTTCCATACTCTGCTAGCTGACTTTTTCTGAGCGTAAGCTGTGTAAACACAATGGAAGAGATAGTAAGCCCATAAATCTCAGGGCTGCCATCCCTTCACACTGACTGCTCCTTGTGAGGTGAAGTGCTGCTGGGAATGAATCAGAGTGGGAGAAGCAGGGCCAACATGAGGCAAAAGAGAAACAAAAGGCATCTTGCCAGTACTGTATAGCAGTAGGAGCATCAAAGACCAATCTTGATGCTTTCAGAAAAAGGTTTGGCCTGCAGCATGTGGTCCTTTTTCACCTGAACAATTGCATTCAGCCTTATGGGAGTCAAACTGTCTCTGAGGGCCCAAAGTGTCATGAACGTTTCAGTTGTTTCCCTTCACCCTAACTGGTTTTATAAAGAAGAATCCCAGCCTGTGATTGATTTATTTCTCTGAGCCAGAAAGTTGTGCATGAGAATTTACTCGTTAGTCCCAATTCAAAATGTCACTTAATCCACCTCGCTGTTACAGTGTTTTCCATAAAGATAACTTTAACATTTCTCCATGGGCATTTTGTTTTACTTTTTTTCAGCTACATAAATGCTTTTTAATAGGAACCAATCCTGCACTTGTGAATCAGTAGCAGGCAGAATGCCTGCAGACTGCAGCAAGAGCAGAGATTTCAGGCTGGCCCTTTAGGACTAAAGTAATTTCAGACACAGGCTATCTTTCCCCTAGAAATAACTCATACACAAATCAAGAATCACTTCACTCGCTCCAGCTAGCGTTAGCAACAGTCTGAACTGCTTGCTGCAGATGGAGAAAACTCAGGTTCGCTGAAAACACAGTCCCCCCTAGAGGCTGAAAAGATGAAGTATTTTAACGTCATCTGTGCAGCAGATACATCCTGCTCTCAGACTTCTAAATTCTTTCCTTGTTTTTTGAGAAAACTATTGTCTTTTTATTTCAAGGAATCTGCCCTGTTTAGGAACACAACTAAGGGATTTCTTACTGCAACAGTATATGGGTTCTCTTTTTGTGCTTTGTGTTCTTACCTTTGTATACTTGCTTTATGTAAAAATGAAAACAGTTTTTAAGTGAAAATATTGTAGCATGAAAACTCAACATGAACTAGTCTGATGCTAAAAAAAGTAGAGGGAAAGGGGACATATTTACTTGGTTTTCTTTTAATTGACACCAACTTCTCTGTAGATACGTATATGATAACTACAGAGTAACAAAAGTGCACACATAAAATGTGAGCATACATGCACATACAGTATACAAAACTTTGCAGAACTTGCTACTCTTGTTATAAACACCTTCCACTTCAGAGCACAAAGTAAGGTGAAGGCGGGCAGGTGGATGTCATTTTTCTTTTACAAATGGGGAGGACAGGACTTGGGAGGGCAAACTGATGTCCCAGAGGTCTAAGGTGATCTCAAGATCATCCCTCCACTACACTGCTTACCTTCACTACTGCTGCTAAAATCCTGGCTTGATGGTCCTCAACAATCACTCAGTGCTACTGCTACCCATCCTTTAACACCGATACTGGAAGGTGAGCTGAAATGCAGTCCCACAAGAGATGTGCTGTTCAATCATGCTAGGCTAAAAAAGAGTGAATCTCCCCCCACTTCTTCCTCTTCCACGAATAATAAAGATTAAGTTTCCTGTCATGGCTGTTCAAGTATGAATAATACTTGAATGCCTGACACCCCATATGACATGGGCAAAATGCAGCTTCATACACAGCAAATGTTATTTACATTACTCGTTAGCTTTTTAAAGCACCTGCATGGTTCCACTGAAGCCTGTGGAAGGACATACTTTTCATAAGTTGACATCGTTAGCTTTTTACAACACGTGCATGGTTCCATTGAAGCCTGTGGAAAGACATCCTTATCATAAATTGACAATAAAACCTTCAAAGTAACTTTTATTTCTAATAAGAAAGAAGGGTTTGTATTTATTTTCAATTTAAACAAGGGTTCCCCACTCTTCCTCTGTACTCTTTACACGTACTTTCAGAGTTGACAATAATATTGAGAGAGCAATTACTAGTGTAACCTGGTCAAGTATCCTATCAGATTGCCCGTCTCCAAAATGCACCATTTTCTTCTGCCTGGGCTACACTGGAAAATACTAACTTCCTTTAGGCAACCATTTTCCATATTTATAGATTAATATCTGGATATAGAACATACTCTTTATGCTAACTGTACTAAATTAGAAGGATAAAGTATCTTGATTTGGATCAAAGTGATGCTATGATTTTCACTGTTGTTTTCATTTCCATGTCATAGCACAACACCTACAAAATTTGTACCTGGGGTTTTACCACGGTAAATGTCTTGGACTCTTTCCTGAGCTCAGTTCAGCCTTCGATGGTCACCACTGAAGTGCATAGGACAATGGCCACCTTGTTCCTTATGGGCATTTATCTCCATCAAGAAGATAAGTAGGAAGTGCTAAAATACAAACATCTGCTGTTCCTTACCAACATCATGGCAGTTCTCGCCACATGACTTTAAAGGCTTCGAGAGCAAAGACCATTTCTGCTTGAGCTTTAGTAACTCTACACTAGGTGTCCATATTGCTTGTAAAAGAAATGGTAGACGTGTTACCATGGTGTCCCTCAAAACCAGAGTTAGGATCAGACACCCCAGATCCACTGTCATCCAAAGAGCTGTGTTGCTGTTCCGTGTAATCTCAAAGCAGGAACTATTCTGATGTGTTCATGTATCAATGGAACAGAAGTCTCACAACATAAAGAAACCAAACACCTATGCGTTGGCTGGGTATTCATCACTTCAGGCAGTATAAGTTTACATAGTAATATCAGCCTGGGAGCTGATTATGAATATTCTGAATTCATTGATACGGTTTGCAGTTGATTTGGTGTGGCAGAGCAGGAAATCTGAATGGACAGCATCGTTATGTCTTTTCTCTTGCATGCTGATTAAGATCATGGGGAAAGCATGGGAAGAAATTTTTCTAATACTATTGACAGATCTTATTCCTGTGAGTCGATTTAAAAAATATTTAATTAAGTAAAAATATGTGCTTCAGGAGTTCTGTCATTTCCAGTTTATTAAAGTATAGATGTGATAAGAAATAAATGCATGGACTCAGTGGAATACACATTTGTCGTTTGTCATCACACCCCTAGAATGGGAACAATGAGATTACCGAGGAAGAAGAACAAAAGGCTTCAGGAGCACATGTGTGGATGGAGGAAGACACAGTAGAATAACGAAAACAGCACAGGGTAGAGTGGGATAGCAG